CTTTTTTTTTTTTTTGGTTGAGATTCTTCTATATAATACTATTGCTAGACTTATAATAGCTCGAATATTAATAAATTTGATATGTAATCATCATGATCTGTTAATTGCGGATTTAAGGCACAGCTCAAGGGTTGCACCACTTGCACTTGCACGTGGTGCTTGCTCTGCTTTCGATCTAAAAACTTGTGCCCAAAACATCTCTGAAATGTTGATGGATTAATTTTTATATTTTCATTTGGTCCATTTTAAGGCCATGGAACTTTCAGAATAGCCTGAAACTGTTATGGAATTTGGAGAGTCTATACTCACCATACTATTATACCTGCTTTTTAATATGAATTTTGTGAGTGTACTCCCTGACAAATTCCTTATAAACTGGCTGTTTTTCTGTCTCTCACTCAGCTTGGAGTAGACACTGTACCAGTCCTTGTTGGCCCAGTCTCCTACTTGTTGCTATCCAAACCTGCAAAGGGTGTTGAGAAAACCTTTTCTCTTCTCTCCCTTCTTGGAAAAATCCTTCCAATCTACAAGTAAATATATCATACTCTAAATTGGTCATTGATTGGTTCTCAATATGTTTATTGGTTTAATTGTTCTATTACTATCTGCAGGGAGGTTATTTCAGATCTTAAAAAAGCTGGTGCATCCTGGATTCAGTTTGATGAGCCTACACTTGTGATGGATCTTGAATCTCACAAATTGCAAGCATTTACTGAGGCCTACTCTGAACTAGAGTCAACTCTCTCTGGCTTGAATGTTCTCATTGAAACCTACTTTGCTGATATCCCTGCCGATCAATACAAGACCCTCACCTCTTTGAAAGGTGTTACTGCATTCGGTTTTGATTTGGTTCGTGGAACCAAGACTATCGACTTGATCAAGGGTGATTTCCCCGAGGGAAAATATCTCTTTGCTGGAGTGGTCGATGGAAGGAACATTTGGGCCAATGATCTTGCTGCTTCTCTCAGCACACTTGAAGCTCTCGAGGGCGTTGTAGGCAAAGGTGCTTTTTCTTTTTCTGCATGCATTTTTTGCACAATGATAAATATCTTTATGACATGTAGTCATTCATGATTTATCTGCACAGACAAGCTTGTAGTCTCCACTTCCTGCTCTCTTCTCCACACTGCTGTTGATCTTGTCAATGAGACCAAGCTTGACAAGGAAATCAAATCATGGCTTGCATTTGCTGCCCAGAAAGTTGTTGAAGTGAATGCATTGGCCAAGGCTTTGGCTGGTCAAAAGGATGAGGTATCTTCTGTCCATGCTTGAACAACAATGAAGAATTTGTTGCTAGATTGGCCACTGAGTTTCTTTTCTTATTTTATACTTTCAAAAAAATCTTATCATCACTGCAAATCTCATTTTTCGTGGTTCTATTTTCAGGAATTCTTCTCTGCTAATGCTGCTGCTCAGGCCTCAAGGAAGTCCTCCCCACGAGTCAACAATGAGGCTGTTCAAAAGGCAGTAAGTACATTGCTAGATTCTTTCCACTTTGATGCTTTCAAGCATGGGGTGCTCTGCTGAATCCTTATGTACTTATTTTGACATGCTTTTCTGGCCTTTTCAGGCTGCTGCTTTGAAGGGTTCTGATCACCGTCGTGCTACAAATGTCAGTGCGAGACTTGATGCTCAGCAGAAGAAGCTTAACCTTCCAATCCTCCCAACCACCACAATTGGTTCCTTCCCACAAACCATGGAACTAAGGAAAGTCCGCCGTGAATACAAGGCGAAAAAGTGAGTCAATAGGAAAACTTTTATATTTTTACTTCTTGTTTGGTATTTACGGCAAGAATTTGTTTATTGATGTGCCTTTATGATTCTTCTTTTAGGGTCTCTGAAGATGATTATGTTAAAGCCATCAAGGAGGAAATTAGCAAAGTTGTCAAACTTCAAGAGGAGTTTGATATTGATGTTTTGGTTCATGGAGAACCTGAGGTGATTTTTATTTATTTATTTTAATTCATCAAATTAGCCTTTTACATGCACACACCAATACAGTATAAACATTTAGGGAGCACTGTTTGTTTACAGAAAACTCTTCCTTTGAAGATTGCTGGTCTTCATTTCTAATTTGTACATCCAACTTGTGTGGTCATTCATTGTTGTAGAGAAACGATATGGTTGAATACTTCGGAGAGCAATTGTCAGGTTTTGCATTCTCTGCCAATGGTTGGGTGCAATCTTATGGTTCTCGCTGTGTGAAGCCACCAATTATCTATGGTGATGTGAGCCGACCCAAGTCCATGACTGTCTTCTGGTCTGCTCTGGCACAGAGCATGACTTCCCGACCAATGAAGGGAATGCTTACAGGCCCTGTCACCATTCTCAACTGGTCATTTGTCCGAAATGACCAACCCAGGTATAGAAAATAAAAGGAACAAGATAGGGAAAACGTTGGCTTTTCTTTTATAGTTTCAATCTGGTTTAATGTGATACATTTTTTTCCATTTTTCAGATTCGAGACCTGCTACCAAATTGCTTTGGCCATTAAGGATGAAGTGGAGGATCTTGAGAAGAACGGTATCACTGTTATCCAAATTGATGAGGCTGCTCTGAGAGAGGGTTTGCCTCTTAGGAAGTCTGAGCAAGCTTTCTACTTGGACTGGGCTGTCCACTCCTTCAGGATCACCAACTGTGGCGTACAGGACACCACCCAGGTTTGTTTTCCACTTCACTTAGAATTCCAAAACTCAAATTCAAGTTGGGTGCTTTTTCCCAATTGTTTTTATTTATGCAGTGGGCTAACTCTTTCAATTACTGCAGATCCACACTCACATGTGCTACTCCAACTTCAATGATATTATCCACTCAATTATCGACATGGATGCTGACGTGATCACCATTGAGAACTCTCGCTCTGATGAAAAGCTTCTCTCAGTGTTCCGCGAGGGAGTGAAGTATGGTGCTGGAATTGGCCCTGGTGTCTACGATATCCACTCTCCCAGAATACCATCAACTGAGGAGATTGCTGACAGAATTAACAAGATGCTCGCAGTGCTTGAGACAAACATCTTGTGGGTTAACCCCGACTGTGGACTTAAGACTCGCAAGTACTCCGAGGTGAAGCCAGCTCTCAAGAACATGGTTGATGCTGCCAAGCTCCTCCGCACCCAACTTGCCAGTGCCAAGTGAGCCAATCAGGACAAGTTGGGAGTACAATCTTCCCTTATCTATTGATTTTTACTCGAAACAACAAAGAAAATTATTGATTGAATAACTCTGGCTCATGATGAAATTACTCAGTAGGCATAATATCCGATGCTAGCGATGATTTTTCCCCCTTCTTTTCTTTTTTATCTGTTTCCATATTGCATTTTGGTTCTGCCTTCAATTCTTTGAAAGCCTTCAAATTGCTCAGTGTACCTCATGATGAAAATCAATGGAATGCCATTACCAGTTTGTGCAATGGAGTGAACTTTTAGATCATGATGTGTTATAGATTGATGCTTCTACCTGATTTGTCAAGTAATTTTTCCACTAACAGCGTTGACAACAAACAATTATTTAATTAAAAAAAAATTTCGATTCATAGTACGTTTAGCCTTATTTAAAGTTGCAACCTCGTTCCTTCTAAGGAAAGTACAGAGAGACTTTAAAAATTATATAAAAATAAAATAAAGGTTTATGAACATTCTTGGTTATTTTTTATTTTCCTTCCTGTGAAGTCTCTAAGTTGGTGTTATCAAATTCTCTAAGTTGGTACTATTTCCCATCAGATTTGTACTTGATTATGAAAGGAGGAATAGGTTTTCAAAGTTCAGTGGATTTCCAAAGACTAGATAAGGATATTAATGATATGGTAAGCTTGTTAGAGAAGTTAACTTGTAGTATCTAAATAGACAATAAGACATGGTGTATGGTGTTTTTCTCATATAATTACAAATATTGCATGTGTATTTTTTAAAAACTGATATCTTGAAATAAATCTAACATCACATTTAACTTTATAAATTATAATTACTAAATAAAATAATATATCTATTAATAAATTACATAACATACATGTTTTATTAAATTTTGATGCTATACTAAGTTACCGAAAAAAATATTAACTGTTAAATTTTACATTCTAACAAATACGTATAAACTAGTTGATTTAATATTTATGTTATCATCGGTTAAAATAAAAACAAGCGATTAACTTAATATAAAAAATAGAGGCATTTTAATCGAAAAAAAAATTGAATGTGTTGACATGTCAAGTTTTCTTTATTTTAAAATCAAATCAATTTTGACATAAATGACAGGAGAATCTTGAATTTGAAACACTTGAAAAAAAATCACATTGTAGATAGCATGTAAATGGAAAACTCAAAAAACTAATTTGAGAGTTCATAAAAACTGCAAGCCAATTTAATCAAAAAAATATTGAATGTCTTTTTCATTTTTATTTAAAATTTATGAAAATTGTAATGATTATGTATTATTTATAGTATTAATGACATTATATTTTTTTCTCCAAAAATCAAAACAAATTTCCTTTTTCATGGACAATGTAATACCCCGTAGAAACTGCTTGATATTTTCAAATTCTTTTCCGTAAAAAATCTTGAATATCACTACACAGTATCCATCTGATTGCGTCTTAGACAGATCATCCATAATCCGATGAATAACTCTTTAAACTCTTACAACTATATAAGTACATAATTATTATTATGTTGCAAAAAGGAAAACTTCCCTTGCAAGGGAATTGAGGAAAAGTGAGTGATTATATAACTCCACACAAAAAAAAAAAAAATTGAAATCAATACTAATTTCATTTTCCAAAAAAAAAAAATAAAAAAAATCAAAAGAGAACTTCCCTTGCAAGGGAATTGAGGAAATGTGAGTGATTATATAACTCCAAAAAAAAAAAAAAAAAAAAATCAAAAGAGAGCTTCCCTTGCAAGGGAATGGAGGAAAAGTGAGTGAGTATAAAAGCCCCTTTTCACACTCCCTCTCAGTCTCGGGCAACAAAGTACAGAAAAAATAAAGTAGTTAAAAAAAAAAAAACAATGTACAAATCGAAGCTTCAAGAACTTTGCCAACAGAGAGAATGGGAGCTGCCCAGCTATGAAGCATCAAAACAAGGACAAGCTCACAACCCTCGCTTTCTTGCCACTGTCACTGTCAATGGCATTTCCTTTCACTCTCCATCTCCCTCTAATACCTCTAAGGGTGCTCAAAATAACGCTGCTAAACTCGCTTACGACCACTTCTCCCTCTCTCGCCCCTCCTCCTCTCCCTCCCTTCCGGGTAATTACCAAAAGCTTTCTTTACCAAAAAAGAAAAAATTGCAGTTTCTAACAATTTAATTAAATTCGTTTTGTTTCTTTGTAACGGTTCATTTCTTCGTTTTTGGTTGCTGAGAATCTGTGTTTAATTTCGTTTGTTAGATAGATTAAATAAATGCTTTTGAGGTTAATTATTTTATAAATTATATTTGATTAAGAAAAAACTGATGTTTTTAGTTATTGGTTTTTTGTATAGTTTTTTTTTCGATTGATTAATTAATTAATTAATTCTTGCATAATGAATTGTCATGTCATTTCTGTTAATAGAATGGATTGATTGATTGATTGATGCCCGTAATCTTGAAGCTTTATGAGAAATCATCGACGTGATTGTGATCATTCTAGTAGTGCTAATTTATACTGCGTAAATTCAAGAAACTACTCTTATGCTACGAGGGCTACCATGCTTATAGAAGTTGCTGCAGGTTCTTTGAGGGCAAGGAATGGGGCGATTATTTGTCTCTCTCCCGGAGGGACAATGCAATTAAACACACAAGATACAAATCAAACTCCCCAGATAAATGAAGCTGTGGCAGTTGCCAAAAATGATGAGAGTTTCGGAGGTGAGAGCAAATCTAGTCTTGTCCTTTTTGGATTTAATATGACTTTAACACAATCATGCACTGTTTCTGGAGTCGGTTGGATGTGCTTCATAATCACAGTTGCATTTATGCATTATAAATCAAAAGATGGAGGTATTTAAGTCAAAAAAATATAAAATGTATTGGCATGTCCCCTCATTTTAGCACCGAATCACATTTCACGTTTTGCAGGCAATTTAATTTCTTAACACACATGGGACTTCTTAGGTATACCAAATTAAAAAATGATTGGCAACTTAATTCATTCAAGAAACTACTGTTATGCTACAAGGCTACCTTGCTTATAAAAGTTGCTGCAGGTTCTTTGAGCGTAAGCACTGGGGCGACTAATCATCTCTCTCCTGGAGGGACATTGCAATTAAACACAAAAGATGCTAATCAAACCCCTCAGGTGAATGAAGCCATGGCAGTCGCCAAAAATGACGAGAATTTTGGAGGTGAGAGCAAATTTATTCTTGCCCTTTTTGGATTTAATATGACTTTAACACAATCACGTGCCGTTTTCTAATCCTGTAATGGAGTCAGTTGGACGTGCTTCATAATCATAGTTGCATTTATTATTGCACTCTAAATAGGCAACCAATCGCTATGGAAATGATACAGTTTTCTCTCTAAATTGCGTAGGTGCGAAAACGTTTTATGTGTGATATCTATAATAAAGCAAATCAGTTTTGTCTAAGTTTTCTGTTTCCCCATGACGTCAAAATATAACTTAAATAACAAACCTCCTTTAAAGTAAAAAAAAAATTAAAGACTGTTCACATTGCATCTTAATTTTCATCAGTACTTCCCTCTTATGGTTTTCCCTGTGTTGCTGGCATGCAATTTTTTTGGTGGAATCTTTTTAAAGGAACTGTTATGGACACGGGTGAGCGTCCGACACCTGTGAGCTGATTTATGGATAGCTTATTGGGCTCCACGATGCTCGCAATCCACACATAGCCCAACTCACATGTGTCGAATACCCACAAGTGTCCATGATGCTCGTCTCTTTCTAAACAAAACTTAATGGAAATCTGTACACTATTATAACCATATTTGGAGGGTGCATGATAAATTGTAAATTGTAATACGGTCCAAAAAAGGGTTGTATTGGGATTTGCTAGCCTGTTTTGCAATGGTGCATAGTGTTTCACAGCTTTTGTGGCCATAATGATTGTAATGGCATTACACTGAAACAACCTAATTGAGCAGCGACAACACATTTTGAACATCTTCCCCCTCACTGACAATAACCTTCTCCACAGCCACTTTACTCATTTCACTAAATATAAATCAAAATCAGTTGCTTCATACCTCAACAATAAGGTTCTAACTCTTGATTTGGAAATTTGAGGTAAAAATCTCAACTATGTTATTTTTACATTGTTTCTGCAAAATTATGGATCGAATCCCTTAGTTTATGTTGTACTCATTTTAGCTTTGCAACTTTAAAGTTTTACATTTGCTTGATCTATGTATATATTTTCAGTTATTTGTTTTTGTTGTTATGTAGAGTTTTGGAATCAATGTTCATCATCTTTTAGATTTGATAGATCTCAGTATATCTTCAATTGCTTGTGCATGTGGGGTATATGTGTGCTTTAATTTTGGAAATCAATGTTCTTGGTTATCTTGTAAATTTGATAGATCTGTTTATATCTTCAATTGCTTGTGCATGTGGAAATATGTGTGCTTTAATTTTTGGAATCAATGTTCTTGGTTATCTTTTAGATTTGATAGATCTCTGTGTGTGGGGGGTATATGTGTCTTTTAATTTTTGGAATCAATTTTTTTCGGATATCTTCTAGATTTGATATTTTTAGGGAAGCATACATGTATTAGGAAAAAAAATTTAGTAGTTAAAAGTATCTTTTTGTCCATTTTTGGTGAGATTTTTGGAAACTTGGTTTACAGAATTTTCACAAAATTTTAAAAATTCACACTTGCATTGTTTGTGGCCATTATGCATTGCTTGGGACGGGACATTGCAACTGTGCTTGCAAAGTAAAATTGCTGAATTAATGGATAACACTTGGCAATTGTGAAGAGAGGATCAAGAAAACATTTTAGGGAAATGGGACCCTTTTTTTGTAAACTTTCAACAGTTTGTATCTTTTGTATTTGTGGAGCCTTATGAGATTCAAAAGTATTAAGTGGAACCAAATAGATTATAAAACATCAAAGATGTTTCAGTGTCTTTCCTGATGTCAAAAGGTTAGTTATTTGGTTTTTTCCCTGAAATTGGAAAAATTTCAACAGTTATTCCTCATGAAATAACCTGGAATCTAGTTATCTTCTTCCAATGGATGTACTCAGGCAGCATCTTTTGTTTGATGTCTAGCTTCTTTGGCTTTCTATATTATACTACTCCACAGCTGGTCTGCTTTATTTCGGACTGAGCTTTTTCTTGTACTTTGGATTTGTATTTTAGTTGTGAGGAGTTATGATTTTAATAATTGTTCCCTGATTTCTCTTGATATTGGAGTCTTAGAATGGTTCTACTATTTCTGTAGCTCTAACTTAACTCTATGTACATTTTAAAAAAAAACCCACAATCCACTAAAAAAAAAAAATCCTAGAAATGATGTGAGCTGAAATGAGAAAAATGAAAGAAACTATATAAAAACCATAACTGCGTGGCTGAGCTGCCATATATCATAGAGTTTACAAAAAATTGTTGATTGTTGAAAATACTTTAGATCACAATTCTTGCTTTCTGGCGACACTTGTGGTGAATGGACTCTCCCTCACAACCCAAATCTCAACAGACATTGCAAGAAGTCATTATAGAATTCTACTAAGCTTGCTTTGCTAACTTCTGTTTTTAAGGGTCTATTTTCCTTGCGTCTCATTAAACACTTTTTTTTTTAGGGGAATCTAATGTAATATAATAAGCTCGACAATGTACGAAACATAAGAATTTCTAGTTTACTTGTTTTATCGGTCTTTTTTTTTTATTTTTATTTTATTTTATTTATGTTATTGAATTTTCTCAGCACTCTATAGTGTCTTGCTTGGCTGTTGAAAATCGGCTGCAATGTAATTAAAATTGTTGTTTTCCTGGGCCTTGGTTAATGTAATTCGTACGGTAGCTTATAGGTTTTTATGTTGTAGGTGTAGTAAAAGGGAAAGTAGGGGCTTTTGTATTTGATGCCCAGTTGGTTTCCAAGTTATTGCAGTCAATGAGAAACTGAATTCTGATTGTAGAAGGTCGTAGTATCACCTGACCATGGAAATTCAATGTTTAATCACCTTATTTTGTGTCTTAAATAATGCACCTGCTTATTTTGTCTTTTCCTGACAAGTAATTATGGGACACATTAATCTGAATTTTCTCGTGCCTTATAGATATGCAGCGTTTGTTCAAAAACCAGCTACAAACCTATGCTCAAAAGAGAAATTTTACTCTCCCTCTGTATTCTTGTGAGCGAGTGGGTCCTCCTCATGCTAGTCGCTTTAAGTGCAAGGTCACAGTAAATGGACAAACCTATGAAAGTCAAGATTATTTTCCCACATTGAACAAAGCTGAACATGAAGCTGCAAAAGCTGCATTGATGTCATTGCTTCCAAATGGAGGTGAAGAGGTTAGTTGCCTAATTACTCGTGGTCATTGTTATCAATTCGTTTTGAAGATGCAAAAATTTGTTGATTGTGCATCTGATTTTTGTGTTTGTAACTTTTAGACATGATATAATTTTCCTCATGTAATTTATTTTTTCTTTTTAGGATGAGCTTGGTTATAAAAATCTCTTACAAGAATTGGCTCAGAGAGAAGGTTGTGGTTTGCCAACTTATGGTACAAACAAATCTGGTGAAGCTCATGTGCCTACTTTCATTTCGACGGTCGAGATAAAAGGAGAGATTTTTACCGGACAAGGAGCAAAAACTAAGAAACAAGCAGAGATGAGTGCAGCAAAAATTGCTTACACTGCCCTAAAACAGCGTATGTACATGCATGCTTGTTTATTATATGTTTATTTATATATTATTTAATCTTTGATGCTTTAGCATCCAGTTAATTATGACACGAATCCACCCTCTAAAGCCTCTTTTTTTTGTTTGTCAACAATTATTTCAATGCTATGAGGTTTCTAACTTTATGGTAACAATCATTTGGTTGTCATGATAAATTTAGTGGCAAGATTCAAATTTTGTAGTTGAATTCCCAGCCTAACACTTGAGTAGATGATTGGGTAGTGAAAACTGTTGCAATTCCTCTCTTAGGAGTTAGGACATAGAGTTGAGATTGCATACCAGTCCTTGATGAGAGAATTCTACTTTGAGTTCATAATAACAGTATGGGTGGGGAGGAGTAGAAGAAAGGAAAACAAAATTTCCTTTCCCCATTTGGTTGGATCTTGGAGGGAGAAGGTGTGGCAGAAGATAAAAAGAGGCTTCTGTTGGACCCAGCAATTTCAAGCCATCAAAATCATAGTTCCAAATAATGGTTGTTATATAACGTTATGACCGTTATTTAACGGATTCAAGCATGCCTGTTACTGTTATAAGGAGTATAATAGCATCTCACACAAATAATAGCATTATATGCCATTATTAAAAGAAAAAAAAATGATTCTTTATATTTCATTATTGTTTGTGTAATATTAAACTTTTAGAAGTGTTGTTAACTTTCTTTTGTAATTTAATTGTTGTTATATAATATTAAACTATTATATATTTATTATTATGCTTAATTAATAAAACTTTTAAAAATATGTGAATTAAAATAAATTTATTAACAGTTGCTAGCCTGCTAATGCATTCACGACATCGGTTATCACAATCATTGTTTTACTATTGCGATAAGCAGCGATCTGCAATCGCAATTGCGACCATTGTAAAACAATTGCATTCGTGATTTAAAACTGCTCAATATGGATTTCAAGAAGGAAGAGGAATTGTTTATTATCCAGCTTTAACCAAAACATGAATTCATGTTGTAGGTGGTATTTTTGTCCATGTCATTTATGTTTAATACCTATCACATCTTCTCTTCCTCCTTTTATTATCCAAAGAACTTAGAGGGTAGGAATGTTCTATCCAGCCTCTCCTTCCTCTTGATTTGGTTGACCTCAACCAACCATGACATAAACGGCATGCTTTCCTACACAAAACCATAAATGGTGCAACTTATGTTTGTTGCGTGATGGACTCACTCACTGAATCACAGTATGGTTTGGGCTAGGGACATGAATATTTAGTTGCATTAACCAGAGGGACAAAAGAAAAGTCGGAGTCAGATTCAGCGAGAGAGTCCAAGGAGCTTTTGTTCTTCACAAGCAAACATCCATTAACTTATTTGCAATAAGACATTCTAATTATAGCTTCTAAATTGATGAACTTTTTTATTTTTAATATATGCACTTCATAGTTCTTATAAGCTTTTTACCAAGCAGAGGAATAGAGATGCCACGTGAAAAAATATTAAAACTAACGTTTATGAAGTAATGGATGTACTATTGTAGTGCCTGAACAGATTGTATGGCTTTTTGGTCAGGCTACTCAAGTCAGAGCCCTGCATTCTTCTCCCCTGCTCGCCAATTTCAAGAGGCTCGTCAGATATCTCAAGTTCTCGACACTGCTTGTGAAGTCAAAGAAGGTACTCAGAGCACTACGTGTCTCTCCCCTGCTCGTCAAGGAAATGGAGCTCCTCAGTTCTCAGCTTCTAGCCTCCGTGCAGATCTTACTGCTTATCTTCAACAAAACATTCAACCTAAATTGCCCAGTGGACAAGCTGAGGAGGATAAAAGTGAGTTTTTCTAAAAAAATCCAAGCATTCTGCACTTCTATAGGTATCAGAAGATGGTTTCATATTATTATTGTCGCCAAAACCGTGAATGTAGGTGCTTTCTGCCAACATAGGTGAGTTTTTTCATATGTTTGATGTGTGGAGGGACGCAACTGAAAGATGTGCTTATAGGTGGTCATAAGTTTTCAGACTTGTCAAGTCTCTTGACTAGGTACAAGTTTATTTGCACCATCCACATTGATTTTAATAAGAGAACTTGTTCTATACAAGAATTTGCTTTAAATATGATCTTTAGATTTCTAAAGAAGTAGAATGGTGGTTAAAGAAAGCTATGGGGTATGTATGAGTTGCGGTTTTTAGTTATACGTTTATGCATATGCGATTTAGATGTGTGCATGCATATAGCAATATATGACCTGGTGCACAGATAGTCAAGTGTTTTCACTATTTTGGAATTCAAGTTACTATTTCAGGATAGAGAGTAACTCAAGCTTGCCTCTTCATGCTACTTTAGATGATTTGACATGAATAAAATCTACCTCCAAGTAGAGCTTTAAATGTGAAACAAGATAAAGACCCCCAAATTTATAAACTAATGATGTTACTAAACTATGGTCCCATGTGTGGTTATGAGACCTCTTCCACTGAGGGAGGGGGTGGCCACTGGGACCATAGTTACTAAACAAGAAGATATCAAGATACAGAACCATTTTCTCTACATAGAGGCATCCTTAGGCTCTTAATATTAGGATTTCCATCCTTGTGGGGAGACACTAAACACAAATGTGCATGAGCTTTCTAGTTCCTTTTGACATGTTCATAGGGAAATTGCACTCACGCTTTCATGATATTTTAATGGTATCCATGTCTCAGCATTCAACTTTTGAATTGTTGGCAGCGCCCTCCATTGCATCTCCGGGGCTAGGCAGTGGTTCAGATGTGAGAAGCATTGCATCTTCATCTGGTGGAGCCATCTCTCCTTTGCCTAAGCATGACTTGTCTTCATCTCCTTTGCCTAAACATGACTTGTCTTCATCTCCTTTGCCTTCTGATTCCTCCACTAATTTGGCCACAAGCTCAAGCATCGAGCGTCTGGTCGGAAAGAGTACGTCATGCCAAAGTAGGGTCATTGTTCATCCACGGGGGACACTAATCACATATCCTGAAGGCAGCATTGTGTTGCCCATCAGCGACGACGAATGGGTTGCAGTGAAGCTACCACCTCAACTGAGTCGGTAAATGTTTTGACTGCCCCAGGAGTGGTACTATGGTTTATATGCACAGATTCTCTAATGGTGGTTGCCTTTTTGTTTTTAACCGGGGGGCATATACCCCCAAAATTAGGATAATGCTAGAAAGACTTGTTTACTAAATGACTTGGCAATTTATGGTTGGAGCGTGATGCCATTCTATCAATAATTATAATTCTAAAACAATAACTGTGTGTTACCAATTAAATTTTTACTTCCTATGGAGTCGGATACTATACTTAAAAAAATCAAATGGAGGTTATATATATATATATATATATCTAAAGTAAGAATAGGATCAAAATAGATCAAATAAATAAAAGATTAGATTTTAATTTTTTTTAAATATATCGAGTTAAAAAGTAAAAGGTTTTAAGGTGGAAAAGCTTAATAAATTACAAAGGTTTTTTTTTTTTTTGGGAAAGGAAAAACTTAAAAAACCAGTGGCTATATCAAATTAAAAGCATTAAAGAAAGACTGAAACTAAAGGAAGAGCAAGAAAGATAAGTTTGCAAGAAAACGTGTCAGGGGCTGTTCGTTGGACACAATATTCATAGAGAAAAATAGATTTGATGATCAGTACGGTTGAAAGATAAGTTAGATTAATTAGGATATAATTCTTAGTAAAGTTGCTTTTTCCTAAATAATAAAATGAAACCAAACAAGCCGTACGAAGAAAAGCCCGCTTTGCTTGCTGTCTTTCCTCTGCTCCATCATATCCCAAAACATTGGTTTCTCCAAATGCTAATAGGGACGTCAACCAACATGGAAACACTATAGTACCAGTGATAGACTTGTTAACTGACCCTTACAGAGCAGAAATTGAATTAAGAATTGGTCATGTTAAACCCTCTTAAAAACAAAATAATATAAATGGTAAAGGATGTCATCTTCTAATAAAACTGCTGGCGTTTTACATCATTTCACGAACTTTGCTGAAGAGAATTAAATCTGGTAACAAACTCAGGCTACAGAATAAACTACAAAATTTGGCCTCTACCAAGAAGAGCAACCATACGCTCCAACTCACATGAGGACTCCTTCAATATTATTCAGGGCTTTCTTTGCAATCTTGAATTTGTTTGTGAAGGCCTTGTTTGATTTGACAACATACTCCCTGATGAAGAACTCAATGCCATGACGAAGAGTTTCTAGGTCAGGGGCGACAGCAACACGTGTAAATGAGTTCCATATAACCTTATCAGGATACTCAAATAAGGCCTCAAACAGCATACGAAAATGCATGATCCTTTTTGGGGTTAGCTGTGCGACATCACTTAATTCCACACTCTTTAAAACTGCGAGGGAGAGGGTGAAAGAGCCAACCATCTCTGCTACAAATTTTGCTAGGTGCATTGATCTTAATAAGTGCATTGACTCCAGCTCTTTGAAGCGGTCCCAAATGCAGAACTGTGAAGTCATAACAGGTAAAAAGAGAGATTATCTTAATTAGCAAGCACGGAATCAAAGCTTATGCATCCAAACTATAGATCTTGTATTCTTTCCCAATCATTTTGTGACTACAACCTGTTGCCATGCATAGTTATTCTTACACTGAATTTGCATTGTATATTTTTTAGCATGTCTCATATTACACTCGCACACATATAAAATAGAACAGGTTCGATCTTACTTCATCATGAAAAGGACAAGGGATACCTGTAACGTAAATTTGTGGTTTTTGTCATGCTCACACAACTTGGAAGCTAGGGTAGTGTAATACTTGTTAAATATCTTCTCTTGTAAACAGCATTCTACAATAACTCGCATAATCTCTCTATCCTGTACATGAAAACAAAATACATATTATAAGTGAAATGAGGGAGGAAGGGTAAGGAAGAGCAGTGGTGAGGGAGCCAAGAGACGCCAACCTGCTTTCCAGTCAAGTCCAACCTCAGAAGTTTTTCAAAAGCATCAATGTAGTCTTCACCACTCATTATTATACAAAAGATTGCCTTTCTGGCATCTGTGTTCATCCTCTGTGAAGCAGCAAGCTGTAGCATCTTTTGGGTTTCCAGAATCTCTTTGTCTATTGCGTTGGCAACCTCTTGAACATTATCTGTTTTGGCAGCCACATCCCCTGACAGCCACCACTGGCCCTTCTTGTCAGGATCCAGCAGCTTGCTCCATTTTAGCCCTCTAATAAAAATTCCTTCAACATTTAACTGAGATACACAAAAAAAAATTAAAAAAGGGTAAAAAAGGAATATGACATGCAAATAAGAACAAAGAATTTCTATTGTTATGTTCTGTTCAATATCAGGGAACTAGCTGGACTTCTCTTAAAATTGCTGTAACAGTAACCAAGAAAGGGGATGTTTTAATGTTTAACTGAACTTTTGTTCACAACAAGCCCCAAGTCACTTTATGTGGAACTTAATGCTTTCCTTTTTCTCATTTCTTCTCACTGTTGATATGAAATTACGAAATAGCATTCTCATTGATTTAACTTGACATCTGCTTAAGTAATTATAAATTTGAAAGCAAATACACGAATGAAGAACTTAAAATGAAAAAAGTCCAGTTTGCTAGACCTTCTGTAGCCATTTTTTTATCCGCGTGTGAGGTGCAGTTTCCTCCTTGGGCCTTTTCTTGTTGTTTTTGATATCAAATATGGTTTCAAGCATAAACTCCATCTGCAAAAGTTACCATGTATGATAATTTTAAATTGACAACAAAAATTGCAGAATCAAAAGAGATCTTCATGAAAAGCTCACTCGTTTTCCATTTATATTTGCCTGGCCTTCTACAGAGGAGGCCTTTAGCTCATTCACTCGGTTCTGAACACTCTGGATGAAGTTCTTCATTGCAGTGGGATCATCACTCCTTATTTTCATCCCACAGCCTACACGGTCAGTAATTGTTCAAGATATGATTAGTTGGGCAACCAGTCCCACTGGATTAGTACAGAGACATGCTGATGTCATACTATTTTTAACAGCATGGAGAAGCAATCAGTGCAGTGCAAGAACTGCAGCAGGGATTGAATAGGGAAAATGATAACTGATGCAACAAGTAAGAGAATACGCTACAGAAATATTAAAGTGACGGATATGCAATTCCTAGCCAAAAAGAGGGAGCTTCACAGAGAGAACTTAAATCATAATCAAAACTGAATTATAAAGAGTTGACAAATATAAAAATCATATTGTAAACACCAAGAGTTGAAAGACCACATACAATTTAAAACTGTCAAAATAGTGGAGACATCAATCTCTGTCAAACGCTTGCTCAACGTGATTAGAAAGTCATATATCAGATCACTGCAAAACATTAACAGAAGCAATGCTATTAGCTGATATTATTTTTATCCAATAAATTAAACACTGATGAAACAGACATTGGTACATGCAGCAAAAAGGTGTAATACAAACATTCTGCAACTATTTTGTACACAAGGATTATTTTTCTCACGCATTCACATGCAGAAAACGTTGCAGTTGCCAAATTCATGAAGATTGTTATTGAAGACAGCAAAAAATGTGGGTCCTATGCCATCAAGTAGCCAACCTCATTATTACATTTAACACATTCTCCTCCAAGGAGTATTGCCACTACAGCAAAAGAGAGAAGGAATTGCCGATTAAACTGTTTCTGTTGAGAGAAATCAATTAAGTTTTTAATTGCACTCTTATGATAACACAAAATCATGTATCTAGCTACAAGCTAGCAATTATGATGAATATAGAACAAACTTGTTTTGATAAGCACACTACACCTTTTAAACTAATTCATATATGTGTACGTGTATTCCAAAAGAAGTTCTAATCAACAGATTCACTAACTGCAGCCACGAGATATGTTTTTAGAATAATGCACAGAAACTTCACCCATTTTAGCTTTCACTATATTTTCATTTTTGCAAATTTAGTTAAAATACCTTGAGCAAACTCCAAATATGCATAAATAGGAGAGTAGAAGAGTGAGATTTCGCAAGGAAATATTGTCTTCTTTGAGGCACTCATCCTGCATGCCAACAGAAAGGGAAATTGCTCAGAGAAAAATTTATTATCTGCAATAAAACTGATGAAAAATTGAATTTCCTGGGGAAAAGACAGATGTCGACCTATAAAAATATGTTTGCTAAACCTAAATGTTGAATAAATGAAACCCAGAATTAAATTATTAATCTTAAAGCTGTTACAAATCAAAACAACAATTCAATGTTGATTTAATTTTCAGAGGGTCTATGCACCTCAAAAGTTTTAGCCAGTGAGGCCACAAACTTTGCACTGAAGTCCATCCCAACAGAGCTAGCCAAGCCTGCAACAAAAGCTGCAAAAACAGCAGCATACCTTCAACAAAAGAACATGCATCAATATCAAATCAGAAGTTCAGTACTAATAAGGATTTCAGGAAACGAAGAGAAGAAAAAAGGTTACAGCTGCATACACAAAAATGCACCATATGTTCCAAATTAAATTTCCTGCAAAAACATTTGACCTTTGAACTAAAAAACGTACAAACTTTCTGCAGGTACACAAACAGTCATTCCTAAGCATACATACGAAGATCTATACAACAAAAATGTCATTCCAAATTCATTTCAAAGAGGAAAAGAAAGATTTGTTTTTCTATATAGCATTCATGCATTTCTTTCTTTATCCTTTTTTTTTTTTTTTTAATGAATAAGGCCTGAAAGAGCCAAAATAACTTAATAAAACACATTTAACACAAGCACACACACAAAAAAAAAGCTTATCAACATTGATACACAGATGAATGTAGGAAATACATTGCACAAGCAAGCAAAATAATAAAAAAGAGAAGACATAAGAAATCATCAGGTAACAATTACTCGACATTGCTACTGTAAGTTTTATAGTTTCTACAGTCACAACAGCTTAAAGAAAGTTCACCACATAAAAAACGCAGAATGGGGGAAGTAGATCCATGTAGCCAACTCCCACCAGTTTGGGATTGATGCTTACTTGAAACAAGTTTAGTTCAAACACAATCGCAATCAAAAGAGACAAGGAATATGAGCGTGAAGGAAAATAGATTCACTCACTGTTCATTGCCACGAGGACCACCAGAACATCCTGCCAACACCTCATCAACAATAATCTGAGTACTGACACTACGAATAGTGGACTGCACATAAATCAAATAAATGAGTTGGGACATTTTATGCATAAGCCACTGCTCACTAATTCTTACACAACATTGGTGCTAAAATGGCCCAGATTTGATATATAGTTTCCAAATGGCAAAACTAATAATAATAAAAAATAATAATAAGAAGAAAGAAAATTGCGTCAAATTAACCAAAAAGCAGTGTTGTTTGCACAGGTTTCCTGGTCCATCAGAGAGAATTGGACCATGTAACATTAGGTCAACATGCAGTCTTTGATAGTTGTTCAAACATATCATGAAAAAGGTCTTTTCTTTTCCTTTTTGATCAGCAATACCATGAAAGAATTTCTTATAAAAGCAATATATCATAAGCAAAATTATAACATACACAAAAGATGGTAGACATTTCGCCTGTAATCGATTCCACATTGGATTCAGACAGCCTGTTTAGTAGACCTGGAACAGGTTCAGAATTAGAAAGATTGTTGCATTCATAGGTTTTAAAAGCCAAAACTTTAATGAACACTTGATTTCGTACCACGGACCCGTCTACGGATTTGAATATGCTCTTCTGACTCATTTCCTGAAAGAGATCTCAAATGAGGAGCGACATATTTCATACTGCTGGCCCCTGCAGATGCCTTGATAGAAGTTTCCGGCAATGCAACTTCTGCATCATGGTCTGTTGGGTCAGATTCTCCATTTTTAATGTCACCTGCCATGTCTTGCTTTCGCTTTGACTTCTTTTTGTTTCTATTCCTTGTATGTGAAGATGTCTCGGTGGCACCATCTTCAAGCCCCACTTCTGCACCTGAGCTTTCCTCCAGCCCAGAAACTGCCCCCATGACATCATCTCTCTCATCTTCTGAAAATTCCTTTGAAGAATTTTTTTTCTTACTTTTCTTACCAGAAGTTCCATCCTCAACTCCCTCAATGGGAAACTCCTTAGCATCTGGGGCTTCCTCTTCATCAAAAGAATCAAGCACAGATGGTATTCCCTCGAGCAACATGTCGATTTCATCATCCATTCCCCTCAATTTTCCATCCTTTGATTTGAGTTTCTTAGCAAGTCTCCTTTCCAATTCCAGATCCTCCTCAGCACCAGCATCTTTCCTCTCCATTTCAAGGTACTCTTCAAACTTTGTTTTCGACTTCCTCTTCATGCATTTTTTCTCTTTCACTGTCTTTGGAGTATTAGCACCTCCATGTGCCAACAAGTCCAATTTCAGTTCCATTTCTGTTGGAACGTTCTTTTTCTCTAGACTTTGATTTATCCTCGAGTTAGCATTTTCTTGTATGTCTTCTTTCTCTTTCAAATTCTTTGATTTGTTCACGTATTTTGGCTTTGAATTTCCAAATTTTCTCTTACTTTGTTCAGCTCTCCTCTGTTTTTTAAATTTCTGTAAACATTATATAAGAATCACGATTGTTCTTAATTTATGACAGCATAAATTACAAAAAACCGTAACCAGACAAAAATAAAACAAAGGCAACTGCTTAAACTAGAATACCTGATGCTGGATCCAAGATTCATGTTTTTTTTGCTTTGCCATTTTTCTAGCTTCTTTTCGCACTTGTTGGCGCAACTTCTCATCAGGCCCTGCCCCTATGACAGAATCAAACCCAAGTTATCAATTTTCGTTGATCATATATATATATAGGAAAATCAACTGATACAACAAAACAAGCCAAATCAGGACTTACTCATGATTCCAAATTAAATTTCCCACCCAAAGGATCTGCCAAAAAAAAAAAATAAATAACAAAAAAATACAAAGTTAAAAGTGCTCATACAAAAATCAATGACTCATGAGATTCCATACCTAACTCAACTAGAAAAAGACCTAAAAAAACAACCAAATTATTTCAACAACCTATGTTTGGTTGAAAAAAAAAAACTGGAAAAAAACCCAATGACTACTTCAACTCAAACTTTATTAAGTAGTAATTAGTTTCAATTTTAAAGCAATTCAAGTAGAAGAAGAATGGGAAAAGATTAGGCCTTTGCTTTCTCTTTTTATTTTCTCTGTATCCAAAAATAACATTACACAAAAAGATGTTCATAAAATTAACTAAAACCCAAAAACAATATAGCATCAAAACCCACTTCAAAAACAAGTTAAAATTAACCCAGAAATCGTAATCACGTATCATTCATACTCTAAAACGACTATGACAGAATTAGCAGAAAATATGATAACATAGACTATAAAACACAAGCAGTTTAATGAAGCTTTGATTAAGAAGATTACCTAGAGATTTAGAGACTATGACTGATTAAATTAACAAAATAAATAATGGGACTCAACGTGACTCCGTTGATATTCTCTTCTCCAAGGTGATTCTTTCCTTTCGCCAGCGGCTAAAGAAAGTTACCAGTGACTACTTGTGAGAGGGAGACTTCTACAAATCAAGGAGCTGACACACGCGGCAAGATTGAGGGCGGGCCAAGGTATTGTATCTTAATAGGGCTTTGAGTCCAAATTAAAAACCCCTGGGTCTTCCACTGCTAAAAGCCCACATTACTCACTAACCAAAACTCCTCCGTTTCATTAACAAGGAATCAAATTACAGAACAGAAGCGCCCTATTAGTGATTTCACTAGCCCAAGCTTACGCTAGATGCTCCAAAGTTTGCCATAACTGCGCTGCGTTTCGTACTAGAAAGTGTGTCCGGCTTGTCCATTGACTAGCTTGACTTTTTAGGTAGGATGTCCAAACAATTGTTTGAAAAATATGAATTCAAGAAACAATTAGGATGTGATAGGCCTCTGTGCCAACGATTTATAGAACCGTATTCTCTCAACTATGTCATTTTCATGATTCCTCTGCATAGCAACCGGGCTACATGATGTAGTTTCTACTTGATAGTTGCCTGCTGTAGATGAAATCATTTGTAAAAAAATCATTACGATTTAATAGTTTTCGCCACGATCTACTAAATCTATCGAAATCAAAGATAAAAAAAATATTCACCTTACCTTACAGCTTTTTTTTATCAAAATTTTGTATTTAATTATTATTTTTTGTGTTTTTAAAAAAGATTTTCATGTTAAAAAAATATGATTTTTTTTTTTGTCATGCATTGATTCTTTAATAAAATTTTTTTTAATAATCTAAAATGCAAGTTTCAATTTATCGAAAATCCTGAAAAAAATTACGTATAAATTTAATTATTTATTTTATAAAATTGTATCGAAAAAATAAAACAACAATTAATTTTTCTAAAAACATTATATAAAAATTTTAAGATTTAAAATAATTTTTTATAATATTATGAGAAGATGAATTTTTAAAAGTATGTATATTAGGTTTATATAAATATATTCTTAAAATAATAAATAATATTAGTATAAAAAACTCTATTTAAAAAGTATGGTACTCGTCGGATGTTGTTTTTAAAATATATTTTTTATTATTTTGAAAAAAATCGATTTCAAAATATTCATTTAAAAAAAATATTAAGTTTTTTGTGTGTATATGGTCAATTAATTTGTAATTTAAAAAAATAATAAAATTAAATTTGATATTTAATTATTTATAAATAATATAATAGAAATTTTATTATATTTTCATCGATGCGAACATTTGGCTAAGTGAATTGCACATAGCACAAAACACACACACACACACACACAAAATCAATACAGTTGCTTATAGGTTTGAGCTGCTATTCAAGGTAGAAAAAAAAATTTTTTCTTCAAAAACAAATCCAACCATCAAATAAGCAAATTTTTTTTTAAGGAAAGCATAAACGCAAATTTCAATTTATCAAAAATCCTAAAAAAAGAAATTTATCAATTTAATTATTTATTTTAAAGATTTTATCGAGACAATAAAACAACAATTAATTTTTAAAAAATTACATAAAAAATTTAAGATTTAAAATAATTTTTTATAATATTGATGAGAAGGTTAATTTTTAAAAGTATGTATATTGGGTTTATATAGATAGACACACAATGAAAATAATAAATAATATTAGCATAAAAAACTCTATTTAAAAACCATGGTACCATTGGGTGTTGTTTTTAAAATATATATTTTTATTATTTATTTGAGAAAAATTGATTTCAAAATATTCATTTTAAAAAAGTAAATATTAAGTGTTTTTTTTTTTTTTTTTTTTTTTTTTTGTGTATATGCACAATCAATTTGTAATAAAAAAAAATAAGCAATTTTTTTTTAAGGAAAGCATAGAAGTATTTCAAACTAAAACTTTTGGCATCAAAATACAATCATTATATTATATTTATTAAATCATTTAGTTTCTCATACCCAATACAGTTCTTTTTAATGAACTCTTTTGATATGGGCCACGATATTTATCTCAAAGAATTCAGCTGAGAACAACTATGAAAGAGGTTCTTGAATTGTAAAATAAATTATAAATTAGCTTCTTTTATTTCAAAAAATGAATTAATTAGTCTTTTTAGTTTCAAAAACTAATTATTTAGTTCTTTTAATTAGTATTGATATGACTAATTTATTTTTTTATTTTATAAAATATCTTATTTTCTCATCAATCGTTTCATATTTTCACTTATTTTTTATTTCTTTTCTATTTGTTAAAACAGAAAAATAAAATAAATTGAAAAATAGTAAAAAAATACTAAATAATTAGTTTTTGAAATCAGAAAACTAACTAAATTGTCTCTTGAAACAATAGGGACTAATTTATAATTTACTTTTGAATTGCAATTGCTCCTCACGAAAATAAGGAGGGAAAGGCAATGAATGGCTGGAGTGCTCTGTCAAAAGCGAAAGAAATGACGAAGAAAAGCCAAATAAGCAAATTAGTAGCAAATCAGTCGAGGGAAAATATAAAATTTCATAAATTCATTGAGTGCATGACATTGATTTAAAAGTAAAATAGAAAGACCTTTATATGCAAAGAAAAAAAAGTATGCAAAACCCAAAAACCGAATTAAAGAAAAAAGAAAAAGTTTATGAACAGAAAATATCTTATGTCTTTAGTATGTCTGTAAATTTCTTTTTGAGTTAGCGCCATAAATATGAATGCTATACATATTCATCGTTTTTTAGTGCCTCTTTTGACTTATGACTAGATATTTTTGATTCATGATCTGCCAAACCAAGACTTCTCTCTCTGTATATATCCCAATTCAGTGATCAACAATTAAAGATAAATATTGATCACTACTTCCTATCTTTAACTTGAAATATTCTATAAGCATCGAAGGCAAAGGAAAACAATTGGAAAAAGAATGACCCAAAATCACACTTTCCAAAGGGTCCTACGATCTTTATGCAATGCAATTTTGTGGCCTTACGTGCCCCCACGTCAGAATTATAAGCTAGCCTTGATTTGCTCATCAGCTTATATATTCTCACTTCTAATTAGCTACCATATGAAATAAAACCAACATCAAACAAGTAGATAATGAAGTTGGGTTAGTGCTGGTTAATGCCCCTTTGATAGATTATGAACTTCTTTTCATGACTGATTCATTTCATATATATATATATATTACATTGTGGCATTGTATCCAACAATTACCTTGCAACTTAGAATTTACTTTCTTTTTATTTAAAATTCACCAATTCCATGCGCATTCCCACTTCAAACTTCCCATTGTAAGTTTAATAGAATGTAAATCGAATGAAAATGACTAAAATATATTTAAGTAATCAAACAATAAAGTAATTAGCCAAATTCGTTTTCTTATGATAAATATGGTAGAAAAGAATTAGAGGTGGGCGTTATTCCATGATAAAGAGATTATTGCAATGTTAGATCGTGGTGTTGAGGTGGTTCAGTGGTGGAGGAGAGGAGATGGTTAAGTTATGGAGGAGTGGAGGTGGTTTGATTATGGATTTGTGACGGTATCGTGCTTTTTTTTTTTAAATTAGTTTTGTATTTTAGTATTTTTTATATATTTATGGGTAAACAATGAGTATCATCAAGGTAAAAAAAATTATTCATATTTATAAATTAATTACCCGTAACATAAATGGATAATACTATTTTATTCATATTTAACTCATTATTTATTTGAGTATTTTTAAAAGATAATTAATGGTGGGCTGATGAAAGTGCTAATTAATACTTTGATTCATTTTAAACTATGTCTATTTGTGTGTTTTAAGTCTTAAATATCTGATTAGAGCTTATTTTTATGATTTAAGTACATTTGGAGAAATTTTGAACATTTTCTCGCGAAAACAGAAAAATTCCAACTTTGTATGCTTTGACCGCTACAACTTCGGTTGGATTTTTAATGTGGTCAGAAAGTCAGAATAAAAAAGAGGCCTGTTGGAAATTTAAAGAAGACATGATAAGCTTTCTAAGAAGGTATTATGGGCCAAATTATAAGATCATTTGAGCCTTGAACCGTTTCCTTAAAGATCCAGCACAAAACTAATCCTAGTCCAACTTGGAGAAGATTTTCTGATAATGCTGCTCAGTGTTTTTAGAATAATTAGAGCCACAAATTTTCGTTTGGGCTCTACTTTATCTCGTTGGAAAGCTGGCATGTAGGGCTACAATTTTCATGAAGAGACCCAAGCCTAGTAGTGAATATTTCCTCTCTGAAATCGGCCTGCATGTTGAAGTAGAGTATCAGTCTCCTAGTTTGTAGCAGATTTGGATAACTGATGGTGAATCTTTTTAAACGTGAGATTGTAGCAACCTAAATAAGGTGAAATTCATTTGATGGCTTAAGAGGATGAACGTAATGACTGGAGTAAGAGTTAGAGGTCCAGATTCAAGTTTGGGATAGAGTTGAAGACTAAGTCCTAATTGGTTAGGATTAATAACTGCAATGTTCTGGTAGAATTATTAGGAGAGTTTTTAGGCATTCTTTGGTTGTATAAATAGCCTCGTTTAGGGCTGTGGAAAAGGTGTGGAGAATAACCTATTCTTCTCTTTTGTTTTATTTTTCCTTTTGTTTGTGATGAAGGTGTGCAAAAGATGTGGAGAGCAACCTATTCTTTGGCTGTATAAATAACCTATTTTAGGACTTCCCACTAGTGTAGAGGAAGCTGCCGATAACTTCCAAATACTTAAATGATTTCTTGTTTATATGAACTGAAGCTATAGATGGTATGGATAAAATTGTCGATGACTTCCTAATATGTGAGCAATCTTTTGTTCATGTGAATTGAAGTTATCAATGGCTTTCTATTCGAGTGGACAAAGCTCCCGATGGCTTCCAAATTTTAAAATAATTTCTTGTTTGTGTGCATTGAAGTCGTTGATGGCTTTTTACTAATGTGAATGAAGTTGTCGGTAGCTTCTAAATATTTAAACAACTTCTTGTTTGTGTGAATTAAAACTATCGATGGCTTTTCACTTATACGGATGAAGCTATTGGTGGGTTATTAATATTTGAACAGTTTTTTGTTTGTGTAAACTAAGTCGTTAGTGGCTTGTCACTTGTGTAGATGAAGTTACCGGTGACTTTTAAATATTTAAATGACTTCTTATATATGTGAATCGAAACTATTAATGACTTCCTACTTGTATAGACGAAGCTATCGGTGACTTCTAAATATCTAAACAATTTTTTTTTTTTGGAGATTTAATCCATTTTTTTGTATTCTATAAAAAATAACGGTTACATAAATATTTTCATTATGAAAATCATTTAGTAAGATTCTTTTAGAGGTTCCCAAAAAAATTAGAATCATTAAAGCAGATTTTTTTTTTACATTTTTAATATTCAAAATATAAAAAAAAATATATACTTTCCGACCTTAAAATTTTTTAGTTTTTATAAAAAAATAGATTGGATTTTTTTTTCAATATATGTGTAAAACTTCAACTGAAAATACCAAAAATTAAATTATTTAGAGGGTGGGATGATAGTTGAAAATCATAAGATATATTAAATCTAAAAAAAAAAAGAATTAGTAAAAGTCAATTATGAAATTAAAAGTTCAGGAAGCGATTTTTAAATGAACTAAATTTTAGGAGAGATTTAACCCATTTAGCAATATTTTACTTTTTGTTAAAGAACATTTCGAGTTTCCATATATAATTCACCAATAAAGTATCTATTTAAAGAAACATAATAGAGTAACTGAAATTTGAAAACTTCAATTTTTATGTAGTTATCTTTTTTTTTTTTTAATTTGAATATTGAATTTTAATAATTAAAAAATACTTCAATAAACTTTGAATATGTCAAAATAAGAATACTCCATATGTAGTTATACTAAAGATAAAAAATAATATAATCTATTAATAAAACTTGATAAAATTGCAGAGTGAAAATAACCCCGCACGGAAGCCAAAATTTTCTTGTGTCAATTTGTGAACGTTGTAACCATCTCCACAGTTTGTTAACACTCGCTTTCAAGAATGCTTTCCATATTCAATAATTCACTTTATTCGGCCATAATGCCGTCCTTAGCCGTGTTGAGATCAAAGCCCTTGCACTTGGCTCTATAAAAAGCTTCATTCTACATATCCTTGTAGCAAGTGTCCCCTTCGCCTCCTTCGTCAATCACGGAGCCAAGTAATAGAGCTATCACTTCTCTCATGGCTTCTCATTGTGTATTGATGATCTTTGCTCTCGTTGTTGCCTTCGTTCCAATGACAACTTTGGCAACAGAGTACATAGTTGGGGATGAAAATTGATGGACCCTAGGTTTTGATTACCATGCTTGGGCTGCAGACAAGAACTTTCTTGTTGGCGACAAACTTGGTAAACTTATCTTACATTTTTCTTCTACAAGAACAATTAACATGCTTAATTTGTCGAGAGTTGTTCATTCCTATTATCATTTAATGCTTCATATATATTTCTTTGTTAAACATTAATGTTTGTGGTTGAATTTTGCAGTTTTTAAATATCCTGTTGGTGTTCACAACGTGTTTAAAGTGAATGGAACTGAATACCTAAACTGTATTATTCCACCGGCAGGTAAGGCACTAACTAGTGGAAACGACACGGTTGTTTTGGCTACTCCAGGAAAGAAATGGTACATTTGTGGAATGGGCAAGCACTGTGAGCTTGGTGGCCAAAAGCTTACCATAGCTGTGCAATCTTTGGCACCAACTGCAAGCCCTGCACCTTCTCCACTCTATGCTAAGCCTTATGAGTCCGTGAAAGCCCAAAGATCTTTCTGGTTTTAATTTTATTGAATGACGTATTCAGCCAAAGTTCCTTTTTTTTTTTTTTTCTTTTTTTTTTTTTAAATAAGATCACATATTAATAAATTGCTTCAGTAGATTGAAATGTTCTATTGGGTTGTTTTTTTTTTCCAATTTCATATTTTTGCATTTTTCTAATTCTTTTTCAGCAAGTTCAATAACATATCCAGCCCGAGTCCTTACGGAAGGACTTTTTTTTGTCTCGTAGAAACCTAAAAAAATTCATTAAGCACGTCGATCTGAAATTAAAATTATCAATTCAAAATATATATTGCCAAAAACATCAAATTGATCTTTCTAAGATTTTTGGAGCTTAATATTTATCATAAAAAAGATAATTGGAGCTTAAAACACTAGAACTAGAGAAGTGGACCTCTGATAGGCTTTCTTTAATAATCATACAAATATTTCTCATTAAATATTATAAAAAATGGCTAAATCCATTTTATATTAAATCGTAAAAAAAACCTATTTATTTTTAACACGGTCCATTGAATATTTATATTTTTTTATTTCAATTTAAATTGACTGAGATAAATTTTTAATTTTAAATATTTATATTTAATTGGTTGAAATTCAAAATACATAAGCTCTATAGTCTCAAAAAAAAAAAAAAAAAAAAATTGAGAATATGAAATTTTATTACTCACTAACACGATAAGGAATTTTGTTCAATCCATCTAGGTGTTTTGCTACCTTTTGTTTTATTTGTTTCGTAACCCGTTCTCAAAATGGTTCCGTTCACCACAAATATACTATTTTCTTCCTGGGGTTCCCAAAATAACTGTACCATATCCAGTAGTTAGGGCCTCATTTGCTAGCGGATTAGTGCAATATTAGAAGTCAGTTTTAATTATTTACCCGAAATGCATTGCGATCTCCAACACGATATCAAAAAACTGCAAAGTTTAATTTAAAACTTGGAAGTTAATTTGAAATATACATCAAACACTAACCCTCACCAGTCCCCTAAGAAGGAAAAAAAAGAAGAAGAAGATACAAATACATATTATTTACCAAGCCTCCAACTCGAAAGTCTGCCTTTTGGCCAAGCTTGGTAATCAAACCCTGCATCCATCCAACTTCATCACCAACTATGAATTTCATTAGCTGAAGAAACTGTTAGACTAGTGGCAGCAATGAGAAAAAGATGCAAAATGCAAGAGGAGGAGAAGACATTTAGATTGTTACGTTACTATGCTCTATATATTGATTAAGAAATTCTATATATATCTGCCTTCAAAAAAAAAAAAAAAAAAAAAAAACCTTCACCATAAAAAAGCCTCCCTCCCAACCACCACCCTCTAAAAACTTTCTTCTCCATCCTCCATCTCAACCTTCCTTCCACCACCTCCACTATATCGGCCCAACCACAACGTTAACCCTCAACCTCCTAAACAAACCCAGCTAATACATCCTTCTATTTTGGCCCAACCATAACCTTAACCCTCAACCTCCTAAAGAAACCAGAGTATAAATTCCTTTTATTTTGAAACCATCACCGATTTTTTTTTTTTTTCTAATTTAGCTAGTTTTATTACGTGTTAATTTATGTTATTTTCTTTAATTTTGACATTAATCAAAACGACACAATATATAAATTGGACCGATGATAGACTTAAGGCCTTAATTAGGTCACACGATGATGGATACATGTATCCGATAGGACTAGTGTCCATGTTTTGTTAATTGGAATGCATTAGGAATATTGATTTGATAAACTCAATGTAGAATTTTTTAAAAGAAAAGACTTAATTGTTACTTTATTTAGTTTTTGTTAGCAAATTGAAGTAATTTAGCTCGAAATATTATAATTTCTTCAACTCATGCTCAAATATGGATGATGTGGCAAGATTCTAGCGGTTAAGGTCCTCGCTCGGTTCACTATAAATACTAATCGCATAGCAATTGTAAGGGAATTTTAACATTTTGATAGCTAGCAAAAATTTCTAAAATCACTATTTTAAAATTCTCACACTCACAAACTCTATCTATTTGAACTTTAATTTCTGTCAAAAATATATAAATAAGTTTATGAAATATCTTAATATTATCTAAAAAATAAAGAAAAAAATAAACAAAAATAGAAAATCAATCTAAAAAGATATTTTCTTTTAGTAAAACAAATATGATAAAACTAAAGCGGTTAGTTTCTCAAAAAATAATCTCATCTTACCAACTTCAATTCTTACTTAATAACATCATTATTTCCATTCCATGATCAAAACTACAATTAAATGAAAATTAAGATTCAAATGAATTTTATTATAAGTAATGTTGTATGTAGTTGTCCTATCCTCATCTTACCATTCCAAACATATGAGAATACAATTTTTATCCCAAAATTCTTGTTTTATTAAGATTTTGTTTACACACAAAATTAATATTTTTCAATTGGCCATGCGAAATTGGACTAAATTACAACAATATTGTTGACTAAGACTAAATGCAATTTTTCAATCAACACGAAGAACCAAATCATATGAAGACAAGTCAAAGCTTTGCAAAAGGAACAAGCGCTGTCGGAGTAAACGAGTTCCAACTCTTGGCATAGCTTTACAAAATACTGTTAATTTTGGCACAACTTTCAGTAAAAAATATTGTTAATTTAATATTCTTGTCTTTTATTTATTATAGTTATTATTTAGCAAGGTACTAAATTTTTTACAAGTGTTATGTTACGAGTCCGATAAAATATATAAAATTATTTTTAAAAATTATTTTATTTTGATATCTCGTGTTATATTGTACGTCTATCAAAATACATCAAATTTTGTATTTGACTGATTATTCTTTATGAAAAAAATTATGTAATAGTATAAAAAATGTTAAAACCAATGGATTCTTGGCTAAAAATTTATTTTGTAATGTTTTTTAAATATTTTCTTGCCTTAAAATTTTTAATTAAAAAAATCGGACATGAAAAGGACCAAAGTGATAAAAATAAAACAAAAAAAAAGACCGAAACCAAATAAAAAATATTTTATGGATTGAAAAAAATTATATTTAAAAAAGAGGCACCAAAGTGTAATGTTAAGAAATCATTTGTTATAAATGTATTAAAAATGGACAAATTTTATAATATACAAGGAGTAATTAGTGACATATACGGTAGTTACTCCATAGATCTATTATGAGGAGAGAAATAGACATAAAAAAAGGAGAGAGAAACAAGAGAGAGAAAATTAAAAAAAAATTGAACGTATGTGAAAATCTTCTTATCACTTATGGTGGGTTTGGATGTAATTTGATGCGTCTATCTTTCTCCTTAAAGTAGATATATAGAGTAATTATCGTACATGCTACTAGTTACTCTACGTGTATTATAAAATTTTCTTTAAAAATATTTAAAAACTACAAAAATGCTATTGCATAGTGAAAAAAATAGTATTTTTGAGTATGTGTAAATAGTGAAATGAGTATGGATGAATAGTATTTTAAACCGTGAATGAATTGTAAAAGGTTTTACTTTTGTTTTATTTATATAATTTATAATTGTAATTTTTTCTAGGAGACTCTAGCCCACTAAGTCTAGTTTACACTCTAAGTAAAAAAAACCTTACTGTTGTATTCAGTAGCCTGTCCCAATACCCTTAGTTTTCTCTTCTCTTTTAATTATGCTGTTTATTGCTTTTTCTTTATTATTTTTCTTAACATAGTTATTAATTTTCTTAAGATTTTCCAACCCAAAAAAAAAAAAAAAAAACACTTCTGTAATTTATTAGATTTTTCTATCTTAAAACCTTAACTATTTCTTGGAATCCAATCACTTGTAAATCGATTTAAACGTTTTGGTATACTTGAGTTTTCTTAGAAACTAAATCTCTTACTTCAGTTTTTTTTTTATTTATTTATTATTATCTATTTTTCTTACTTTGATCATATGTTGGTAGTTGCCGTCTCCATATGGAATCTATCTTAAGAAGAAAAATTAATTGGTAAATAATTTTATTAGATTATTATGGAGAGTTAGTAAAATGCATAGATAAAGTATGTATCCTAGTGAGAGAGTACAGGAGAGGCAATAATAATAGCAGTTTATGTGGTTGTTAATATTTTTTTTATCATATTTATTTTTAGCTTAATTAATATATATTACTTTTTGTATTGTTAAAGAATCGGTAGATAGTGTTGACGAAAAGAAATATTTTTTTATTATATTTGTTATATTGAAAAATTATCTTTCTGTAATATTTTTTTTATTTTAATTTGTTCATTCTTACCGTTTGGGTTATATTAAAATATTCCAAGAACTTTGCCACTATTTCGAGCAAAAAAGTACCAAAAAAAAAAAAAAGAGTGAAACAAATATTAAAAATATGGGAATCTCAAGAGAAAAATTAATTATAAAAGTTACCCTTACATAATTATCTATACTATAGTGGCCTATTTTAAAGTCATGCTGTCTATTTTTTTTTTAAGGATAAATTTCCATTTGCCCTCCTTCATGTTTACGTGTTCTTTCAATTTCACATAAAACCAAAAATGTTTGGCTTGTTTCAATCAAACTCTGTATCTTTCATTTCACCAAAAACTTTGGCATGTTTTAAACCCTGCATCTTTCATATTTCCCGCTCCTTCTTTTTTTTTTTTTGTCCATTTATTCGGTAAATAGTAACAAAAAGTGTAAATTTTAATTTTATCCATAAAATTAATGAAATATCTCAATATAACTCGAAAGATAAGAATGAAAAAAAGAAAAAATTCATTAGAGAAACACGTTTTTTTCAGGAAAAAAAAATGACAAAAAAAGTTTTTTTTTTAATCAACACTATCTACCAATTTTTTTGATAATACAAGAATAGGATTAAGATAAACACAAAAGTGATTAAAAAGAAATTAACAACAAGATCGACCACATTATTGTTGCCTGTTCTATACTCTCTCACTAGCATATCATATCTACGCGTTTTATTTAACTCTCCATCAAAATTTGCAATAAAATCTTGAACGAGAATTTTGGAAAAAAAATCTCATAAAATTGTAATGGCAGAATGACGATAGGATAAATTTAATATAACCTAAAGTTAAATTCATTTGAATCTTAATTTTTATTCAACTTGGAGTATTTGTAGAGAAAGTAACCCTCTCAAGTTTTATCATATATTGTTACTAAAAAAAGTATTTTCCAATTGATTTTCTATTTTTTATTTTTGTTAATTTCAATTTGTTTTTTTTTCTTTACTTTTGGGTAATATTGAGATATTTTATAATTTCAAGGATGAAATTACAATTTACATATGTTTTTGTTACCATTCCAAAAAAAAAAAATATGGAGTTGATTTGAACAATAATGAAAGATATGAAGACTAATTGAAACAAATCAAAAGTTCTAAATGAGATTGAGACAACATATAAATTTCAGTGAGAAAAATTGAAATTTATCCCTTTTTTCTATTAGGTCATAAAAGTAATTTACTAGACATTGCAAAGGGCATCCCAAAAGTATAGAATAACGACATAGCTATTTATTATTATTTTTAAGTAGAGCAAAAATAAAACATATGAGGACTAATTAGAACAGCAATGAAAAATATAGGACATATTTGAAACAAATTGATGAGTTTAAATGAAATTGAGACAATATATAAATTTCATAAACAAATTGAAATTTATTCCCTTTGTTATTAAGTTATAAAAAGAATTGATCATACCCTCACTTATGTGTGTATCTCAGGCTTTTTGACCTCGAAAAGATGAAATTCAAATGTATCCCAGGTAAATCCAAGAGTACTACTAGCTTGTTACCGAATAACTCGTCTTTTGGTAATTTTTGTGCAATAAATAATAATAATAATAATAAATCTTTCGCACTCATCGAAATACGTATTAAAACTGCACTGTCTACTAACCATATATAAGGTCACAATAATTTCTATATTGTCGACCATGAAATAAATAGCCTGGCATTGTCCGATCAACTCGGTGGCCTGAAATGAAATAAAATATTACAGAAAAATTGCATGGGTAACATTTTTAAATGATAGAAAATTAATTAAAAACCATCTTCTGGTTGTCCTACGTCCAAAATGAGAGACGAAAATTAGTTAGGAAAAAGTACATAGTGATCACATTGAGAATCTTTGCCTCAAGCTTTAAATAGCATCCTATCGATAAGCAGACCAGGTCTAATTTCATATAATTAATCAAATTATACCTCTAAATTAAAATGCTTGACATAGTCTTGATATTATGTTTTGCAGAACCAATCGTGGACATCCACGACATAACCTTTGGAAATCGATCCACCAATTAATTATAGACAGCTGGCCCTCCGTATACTCTAGTCTTTGTTACATTCGACAATCTTGTGCAGATATTAGTTACTGTATGATCCCAAGCTTAATTTGGTGGAAATGGTCATAAATTATATATAAAAAAAAATGAAAAGAAATGGTCATGATGGTATATATATATATATATATATATATATTTGTACGAAGCTTTTGTTAATGTGTCTGATTATTGATCTCTACTCGATCGGCCATGCTGCCCTACTGCTTATATTTTTATTTTTCTCTGTCCCAAGTGGTAGCACCTTATACTCCGGACCCTATAAATATACAACTGCACCCATCAAGTGAATATAGACAGTAGCAGCTATAGAATCTCTTGAATAGACCACTGTAGCGTACATCAATCATGTCTTCTCCTCTTGTATTTTGCATTCTTTTTCTCATTGCTGCCACTAGTCTAACTGTTACTTCGGCCAAAGAATTCATAGTTGGTGATGAAGCAGGATGGAGGCTAGGGTTTAATTACCAAGCTTGGGCAGAGGGCAAGGACTTTCGAGTTGGAGACAAACTTGGTAATATATATGGCTCAAGTTCGAAATAATTGAGTATTTTGGATCGTCCATGTTCAAGAGTGATATGCATTCTTGCCTTTTCGTTACACATTATTTTTTGACTTTAATGCTGGCATAATTTTGTGTTTGTGAGCTTTAAACTCAAGCTTTGCTTCTTTAGCTTATGTTAGGTACATTTGCATCCCATGGACATATTGCAATGGCTGCGACAAGTCACTTTGGTCTCGTACGACATTCAGTTTTATTAACTTCCATGCTTTAATTAAATTTTGCAGTTTTTCACTATGTTGTTGGAGCTCACAACGTATTTCGAGTAAATGGAACTGGCTTCCAATATTGCGTTAATCCACCTGCAAATGAGGCCCTAAGTACTGGGCATGATATAGTTGTTTTGAGAACCCCAGGAAGAAAATGGTATATTTGTGGTGTTGGCAACCATTGTGAGAATGGGTTAAAGCTTTTTATCGTTGTGAAACCAGCTGAAACAAAAGCTCCCATCACTAAAGGCAAAGAAATCATTGTGGGAGATGAGGCAAGATGGAGACTAGGTTTTGATTACCAAGCTTGGGCTAAGGACAAGGACTTCCGGGTTGGAGACAAACTTGGTATATAACATCTTAATTAATTTATCAAAACATGGCGGTATATATATATATATATAGTTTTAGAGTTCGTCCACGCATGCACAAGGAGTGTTTGCATATCGAGCAAGAGCCATTTTCTAATTTAATTTCCCGTTTCTTTTTATTATTTTGACTTCATTCTAGGGGTTAAGCAGTTGGTCATCCAATCTAGAAATTCATGTTTATTGCAATCTCTTGCTTTCATTAGACCATGCAATACTAATACTTTAAAGAGTCACATCAATTTGATCCATATATAACAAGAAGAAAGTAATACAGAAACACACAGTTCCCTCTTTAATTATTCTCTTTTTCTATATACGTACATATATATCTTCTTTGGTCGGTCTATGTTATAAAGTTGATTTGAATGTTTGATTACATTTTGCAGTATTCAAATATCCGATTGGAGTTCACAACGTGTTTCGAGTGAATGGAACTGGCTTCTAAAACTGCATTAGGCCACCAGTAAGCGAGGCTCTGAGTACTGGAAATGATAAAATCGTTTTGCTAACCCCAGGAAGAAAATGGTACATTTGTGGTGTAGGCAAACATTGTGAGAATGGTATGAAGCTCTTTTTAACAGTGAAGTACTGATTAGAAGCTCCAAAATCCAAGCATCAATAGCGATCACTATCTGCATGTGCTCGACCGTATGCCGATGCATCAATAGGTGACAAAACCACTTGTCAGCCGTCACCTTTTCTAATTTTTATTTTCAATTAGCTTTCTCCCTCGTTAATTGTTTGGATTTTAAGGTATAAGTTGTAGTAGCGCTTAAACGGTATGTTGTTGTATCCGATTTCTATTTGAAATAATAAACGGTTTTTATAGTTTTAATTTTTTTTATTATTATTTGTTCCCAAACAATTTTGGAATTATGCCTCGTCAAATGCTCTTAAATTATTGCAGTTTTTAGTTGCTGATAATGAGATTGATTTATTTCTTTTTGAGGATTGCATCCAAAACAATTCATATATATTGTATAGGAATTACTATTGTTCAAAGGTTTGATTTTTAATATTTGATAAAAAAAATTGCTCATACATATCTTTTTAAGTGGATAAAGATATTGCTAATTCAAAAGGACATTTTTTTTCATAAAAGAGGCAGAGCTCTAGACGGTGTAGTTGTGATTGCAAAGACCAAGAGTCACAACTCGTCAATGTCTTCTAATAAAAAGCTAATAAAACCTATAAGTAAACATTATTTGTTTTAAACTAAAAACAAAGCTGAATTTAATTTTTGGTCTTTCTTTAATCGAATCAAAATTTAATTCAAGTTTTCATTGTACTTCAGTGTTTAGAATTTTTAGGTTCAGTCAAAACCAAATTTAACAAAAGGTGGTATTCTTTTTATTTTTATTTTTTAAAGAGTTTATTGTTTTATTTTGGTTTATTAAATTTAAAATTTCACATTATTTTTTAAGTATTGGTGTCTATTTGTACAATTTATATTTGGTTTTTATGGATTTTTTTCTCTTCTGGTTTCTTATGATAGGGATTAGTAGAAAAACAATGGTTCAATTTTTTTGGTCAAAAATAAAATTGAAATTTCGAATTTGGGTTTAGTTTTTGTCTTTGATTGATTCAGTTAAACTAAACGACTCTTCAAAATCAAGACGAAAAACTAAATATGCATTACCCCCACTCAATTTTACCAAAAAACCTTAACTATCAAGTAACAAGAATAGAACAACGGGAACAAAGCAAAAATTCCAACATAGATATTAACGAAAAAAAGAGCTTCAATCCTCCCTGCAAGCAATCTGCATTTGCAAGTACTCCATACATCCCATTTAATCTGTTTGTTTACTTTTCTATTTCGAATATTTGTCCATTTTTTAAATAAAGTGCATGAAAAAAAAATGATTTTTCAATCATATCCTCAATTATTGATCAATCAAAACTCCATTCCAAAACATTTTAGTTTCGAGAATTTATGTAATAGACAAAACAATAAATAATATTCTAATTTGGAAATCCAATGGTGTATAAGCAAAATGGTACTACATACTTTACAACTTTCATAAGTAATAAAAACCAAGTAAAATAACTTCTACAAATAAATTTTTGTTGTTTTACGACTAGATTGTATTCTCTGACAAAAAATACTCCAGTACCTCTAATAGCATCCACCACTCTTTATTCCATCAAATTAAATAAATCTATGCATGTTAGTTGATAATCACCAATAAAATTGATATATATGATTCAAGTGATTTAAAGAAATTAAAACAATAAATAAAAATAAAAATCAAATCAATTTTAATATCATATATCAATTAATCTACGTGACTTTATTTAAGCAGATAGATTATAAAGTGATGGGTACTTCCTAATGTACTAGATTATTTTCAAATCTCTAATCAACTATTTATTGCAAATTGAAAATTGAGTGATGTAGAATCGAACTCGAAGAGTATATGGACTACGCGGCAAACGAAAACAACCAAATAACTTGTCTTGTAAAGAAAAACATAAGATCTAGTTTTAGATGACCATAACTTTAGCCCATATATCTGCTCGGGGCTTATAAGCAATCAATGAAAACCCGATTCGAACTAGCTCTATAGCTTGAGGATGCCCATAAAGTAAAGAAAAAAAAAGATTTTTTTTTTTATCCTTCAATTTATTTCAAACCTAAAGACGAGTATCGCGAGACCTAAAGACCCAGATTAATCTCTTGTTATTCGTCAAGCACATAAAGTGGGGATAAGTTCTCAAAGAGTTTTTCGAATACACGATTGAGGACTCGAACTCGAGACCACTTGTCTAAATGACTAGAGTTTTTTCAACTCAAACCAATTCTCATGAATAAAAATGAAAAAAAAAAAAGAAGTAGGTATTTTAGTGATTGAACTCCACTTATAAAGCGTGTTTCTAGGTCATTTTGTGATTCAACTCCACAAATATTTTCGGGATCTATAACTTTAGCCCATATATCTGCTCGGGGCTTATAGGCAATCAATGAAAACTCGATTCGGAACTAGCTCTATAGCTTGAGGATGCCCATAAAGTAAAGAAAAGAAAAGGTTTTTTTTTTTTTTTTTTTTTTTGATCCTTCAAGATATTTCAAACCTAAAGAAAGTATTGCGGACCTAAAAACCCATACTAATCTCTCGTTATTACGTCAAGCACATAAAGTGAGGATAGCTTCTCGGAGAGTTTTTCGAATACACGATCGAGGACTCGAACTCGAGACCACTTGTCTAAATGATTAGAGTTTTTTCAACTCAAACCAATCCTCATGAATAAAAAAGAAGAAAAGAAGAAGAAGGTATTTTAGTGATTGAAATCCACTTATAAAGCGTGTTTCTAGGTCATTTTGTGATTCAACTCCACAAATATTTTCGGGATCTATAACTATTTTAGACTTGTAGCATTTTCTTTAATTGGTTTCCTTATTCTAGAATTTGTTTAATTATGTTGACTATGGATGTTATGAAACTCTACTTTTCCTAATTTACCGTGCCTTAAGTTTGTGCTATAATTTTTTTCTAAAATATTGTAAAACTGCAATAACCTATTCGAATTATAATCAATCAAATTATCGGTTTTATTGTAGTATATGTTGTGCAATCTTTTTCTTTCTCATTGTACAATACGATTGAAACTTTCTTTTTTCTTTAATTATTCAACCTGATTCTTAAAAATTTTAAAATTTTATAAAAATACCTCAAAATATGAAAAAAGACAAACTATGCAACATTCTAATTTTTTTTTTAAGAATTTTTGGATTTCTCTCTCTCTCTTTTATAAAAATAGACGGAGAGTCAAAAATGGGTTAGTACAATAACCTCTTTAGATATCATAAAATTACAAAAATCATCTAAAATTTTGAAACTACTATAAAAAAAATCCGTTTAAATATTCAAAATATCTTCATGACGTAATTTTAATACTAGCAAAAGTACTATGAATACCAAATAGGATTTCTATCATACTTGTCAAACTCAATCCAAAATCTCAATTTGGACGCTCAATCAGCGTACATATTAAAAAAAATTCTTAATATTTGTAGTATTTCAATCTTACTTGTATTTTACAAAATGGACTAACGAGTTTCTAGTTCAAGTGATTATAGCATTTTTATTGATATCAAGAGTTTACAAAATGGACTAACGAGTTTCTAGTTCAAGTGATTATAGCATTTTTATTGATATCAAGAGATTACAGGTTCAGTTCCTAGTAAGGATAAGAACACAAACTTTATTTACATCTCATGCAAGAAAAGGTTAAAGTTATCGCATCACCCTTGTTTGTGGTGGTCAAATTAATCTTCTGTCACGGCAGATATTAGTAAGCTTGGCTCTCTCTCCCTTCTAACACTAACCACTAATCATAGCTGGACAAAAAAAAAAAAAAAACCTACAAAATGGTTGAAAAGAGGTCTGGATCTCATGTTAAGGGAAAGTTATGACATGGATTGTTCATGTGAACCAATTTATCAAGAGTTTGAAACGTAACATTATAGTAGCTAAGCTGTTACGAGTGAAACTAAAACGGCATCGTTTTGAGTAAACTCAAAATGACTTCGTTTTCCCGGAAAAAAAGAAGTGATTTTTTTTTTATCAATTTATCAGTATTTTACACTTTGGTCTTTTGAGTTATTACTTTATATAAAACAGTTCCTAATTTTTATAAATATTACCAAAAGATCCCTATCATTTTTTTAGGATCTGGGTTTTTTCATTAATTATTATGTAATCAAAATAATTTCTTTTCCATAATCAATGGTTACTTTTTCTATTTTCATAAATATTCATGAACTAAAATTAAATATTCTTCTAATATAAATTGATTAAACACCTCATTCTAATTGGGTTTTTTAAAAATAATTAATTAATTTTATATATTTTTTATCTATCAAAATAAAAAATATTCATAAGAAATATTTGAATTCAATTATATATATATAGTTAATTAAATAATTTTTTTACAATGAGTATTAATTAATTTTTATTTTATATTTACATTTTTAAATTATTTAAAATATTAAAACATGGATATGATAAATTTACCTACGATAATGCGTGAGTATTAAGCTAGTGTAAAACTATAGTATTACTGGTACGGGATAATATAAGGTAATGTAATGTATTGAAAAGTGTAGAATGAGATGACTCATTACGGTCTTTAATTGCTACAAGTCCAAAATAGATATAGATCCCGAAGATATTTGTGGAGTTGAATCCCAAAATGACCTAAAAAAAACTTTTTTATAAGTGGATTTTGATCACTAAAATATCTTTTTTTGTTTTTTGTTTTTTTTTTTTCACTCAAGAGAATTGACTTGAGTGGAAGAAAATTTAGTCATTTAAACGAGTAATTTTGGATTCGAGCCCTCGATCATGTATTCGAAAAACTTTATGAGAAGTCGTACTAGCCTTGTGCAATTGACGGAATAATAAAAGATTAGTTTGAGTCTTTAGGTTTGGAATACTTAAA